GGGCATTGTGGTGAGCCACTGTAGTCCCAGCTACTTGGGAGGCTGAGGCAAGAGAATCGCTTAAGCCCAAGAGTTTGAGGTTGCTGTGATTTGTGTCACCCCAGGGTACTCTACCGAGGGTGACAAAGTGAAACTGTCTCAAAAAAAAAAAAAAAGCCAGGCAAGGCTCTCACCTGTAATCATAGCACTCTGGGAGGCCAAGGCATGTGGGTGGATTGCTTGAGCTTAGGAGTTCAAGACCAGCCTGAGCAAGAATGACACCCCATCTCTACTAAAAACAGAAAAACTGAGGCAAGAGGATCACTTGAGGCCGAGAGCTTGAGGTTGCTGTGAGCTATGATGCCACAGTACTCTACTCAGGGCAGCAGTGTGAGACTGTCTTATAAAAAAAAAGAGAGGAAATCAATGTGGGGAAATGTCAGCATCTGTTAAATTGGGGAAGGGCATGAATGTATTATATAATACATTTGTGAATGTGTCAAATCTTTCGTAATTTAAATTGCTAATTAAAATTACAAACACGGGGAAGAAACACTGGTTGTCTTCGGATAGTGGAAATAAAGGAAAGTTGTGTAACTTGCTACATGTTCTGTAACGACCACCTCTGACGTTTTGTTTAAAACATGACACAGTTGCTTGAATAATTTCAAAAGGGTAACGATCCGGAGAGTCATAAGAAAGCAGAGAGCAAAAGAGAGGAAAGCCACAGGTTCGAGGAGCTGCCCCAGGCCCAGTCTACCCACCTACCTCCGGGAGGTAACGTCCACAGCCCACACACTGAAGGCGATTCCCGGGGGAGAAGGTCGCCGGCCCCAACCCACCCAGCCAGCGGCTCTGTGCCAGGCACGCGCCTTTCAGGCCAAAGGAACCCTACCAGGGGGAGATGATGGCGGAAAGCGTTGGCGACCCAAAAGGAGCTCAAAGGAACACGAGATCGAGGTCGAGGTCGAAGGGGAAGTCTCGGTGACCGAGGCCCAGACCAAGCGCCGGCTGACCGCGGGCGTGGACCGGACGCTGAGCGCGTGCTCCGTGAGCGGAAGGGGCGGGGCCGGCGGATCCGGTAAAAGAGCGCGGGCTTCGCGCCCGGCCGCCCCGCGCGCTCTGCACCTGCTGGTCCCAGTATGGCGGACGATGCCGGTGCCGCTGCGTCCCAGCGGGACACACTGACTCTGGCCCGCTCCCAGGAGAGACGGCTTCCGCAGCCACTTCCACCCCTGCAGATTCGCGTGCGGCCCTGGTGGTTCCCAGTGCACGAACTGAGACACCCGCTGGTTTTCTACTTGGAGGTTTGGCAGGCAGACCTGATTTTCGGTGAGCACCCCCAGATGTGCTAGTGGCCTTTCCCCTCCAGCCCGAGGGAGGCCTGGAGTCTTGGCTGCATTTGCAGGTCACGAGTGTTGCAGTGACACTCGGCTTCCAGCTCTTCCCTCCCCGGACAACGCTCCCTTCAAATCTAGTGTCTGCTCACCTGTGGTCCTCAGAGTCTCTCCTCACCTGTTTAGGCCCACACCGAGACGTAATTCCAGAGATGGAGTGGATGAGCCAGAGCCTGCTGTCAGTGGACATGGTGGACAATGACAACTTAGTTGAAGTCAAGGTCTTCGGACGGCCCCGCGTCCAGAATCGGGTGAAGACCATGATCCTGGGCCTGGCTTGGTTTTACCAAGAACGTCGTGCCCGAGGTGAGAATCTTTGAGAACCTGCCCGTGGAGCAAGCCACTGATGATCCTCCTGGCCTTACTTGGCTCCCTTTTGTCCTCCCTTGCCTTTCTCAAAACTTCTAGCAATTTACAAAACCCAGGAAGTTACATGCTATTTCTGGGGATCCCTTTGGGGAGTCCCCCAGAAGGACTTTGAGAAAGTAAGCCACCATCTGATGAAGTCACTGCCCAAGTCAGCCTTAGCTGGCTTCCAGCACTGTGCTCAGGTCCCAGACCCCCCTCTCACGGAGTAGTTTGAAACAGCAAATGGTTTCCCTCATCCATAGTAGGTATCAATTGCTTCTCTTCCAGCTGAGAAGATGAAACAGCTTGAGGAGAATTTAAAGTCCAGTGCATCAGGTTCCTACCCTGCCAAGGATGCTTTGCTTGAGGAAACAGAATTGTCACTACCGTTGTGAGAACAGTCCTGCTTCTGCTACTAAAGGTGAAGAGAAACCAAGTACCGTATTCCTAAACCTCTGCATTCCTTTTTCTTGATTCTTGATGTATAGTGGTTTATTTTATGGCAAAAATGAGTTTGTAGAACTACTCTAAAAAAGAAGTGGATTTTTCTTTTGTTCAATGGCATAAAGATTTTTGCTCACTAAATGAATAAAAGATTGTTCACATCTTGATATGAGGGTGTGGTTTTGTTTCTTAATTGCTACCATTTTGAAACCCTTAAGCCTTTTTCTTTGGAGGGGGGAGACAGTCTCACTTTGTCGTCACAGCTCACAGCAACCTCAAACTCTTGGGCTTAAGCAATTCTCTTGCCACAGCTTCCCAAGTAGCTGGGACTACATGTGCCCACCACAACTCCTGGCTGGGTTTGAACCTGCCACCCTCAGTGTATGCGGTGGGTGCCCTACCCTTATGAAACCCTTAAGTCTTTTATGACTTCTATGACCCTAAGCACTGATCAGAGATCTGGGGACAGATAATCTCACAAATGGTGATTCATTGATTTTGCTTTTACATCACTGGTTCTCAAGCTTTAAAACTTTGAAGAAGTGAGGTTGATAGCTTGTTAAAACAATTTCCTAAGGCCCTTCTCCAGTACATTGGGTGGGGTCCATTAATTTGCATTTCTCAAGGACTCACAGGTGCTACCAAGGCAACTCCTTTGAGGTTCTCACTTTGAGGCTGGTGTTTTGACCACGTGGAG